CCGCGCGACTTTCTGGGCGACACTTGCAAAGCCGCCGGGGCTTTGCACAGAGCGCGGGGCTCCCCGCACGGTGGCCGCGCGACCTTGGGCGCGTTACCACCCTACTTCCTGCACGAAGACGGAAAAATCCCGCAAGCCCGGTGGAGCGTCTGCCGCATGCCGGACACCGTGCTCGGCGCTGGGGAGATAAAGTGGAGAGGAAAACAGACAGGGTTTCCGCTTTGGTGGAAGCGATAGTCTGGGGGGAAGATGGATGCTAAACACGACCACCAACATATACATATATACAAAAGACTGAAAGCCATGTGTTAGGTTAAAGATCTCGGTGGGGTCTCCAAAAAAAATGTTAGATTAAAAAATATATCCCAATTGGGACTCCAAAAACGTTAGGTCAGACCAGCCAGGGTGGGCTGCTATCCCGTGCTGCCTGAAAGACACAAAGAATTGCACAGCAGTTAGATTGGAATATATAATTTATTTAGAAAGTAAATTAGAGAGAGGAAATATGAGAGAGAGAGAGCAAGAGAGAGAGAAAGGAGATTCACCTACCCAAGGTAGGGAAGTAGGGCAAAGCTTAGGAAAACATGGCCTGGCCATAGCTCAAAAGATGTAAGACCAAACGTAGTTTAGCAAGGCAATGGCGGAGGCTGCTCGAAGTCAAATCCTTTTAAACCTTCCCATTGGGATAAGGTCCTCAAGGTGATTGGGTGGTGGTTTGCTGCACGTCATCCCAGAGGGAACAGGTAAGCGCAGGTACTGACTCAGGTGATGGACCACAGACGGCAGGCAGATGGGTGGGTTAGTCACATGATTGCTGCCATGTATCACCAACTGGGGTAAGAATGAGGGCAAAGAAAGAATGCAAGACCTCTCTGCAAGGATGAGAAAAAGCTCTGTGCAAAGAGGAGGGAAGTGTGCTCTGGCTGTGCAAAGACCTAGAGGCAGGACAATGATCTGGAACCCCGTGCAAGCTACTATCAGGGTAGGTAGGATCGAGCCAACTTGGTGAAAGATAAGCCACCTTCCTCTACTTAATGCAAATGTTGGCACCTCCCTTAAGAGCTGTGGAAAAGATTCGAGGAGACCATTAACGTGAAATGTTTTAGCATGGTACCTGGCACCTAGCAGCAACAAACACACAGCCACCATTTATTATAGATAGTTTCTATAGCAGAGTAGCTAGTCCGAGGCAACCAGAATGATTATTTTCTTTTTTTGTGTTTTGTAGAGATGAGGTCTCACTACGTTGTCAGGCTGGTCTTGAACCCCCAGCCTCCCAAATTGCTGGGATTATGGGTGTGAGCTACCACATCCAATCCAGAATTACGCGTTTCTGATGAGATAAACCTACCAGTAGTCTTAGAAAAAATAATAGCTAATACTGTTTTTGTTTTGTGTTGGAGTTCACTCTGTCACCCATTCACCCAGGCTGGAGTGCCGTGGAATGCTCAGGGCCATCGCAGCTAAGTAGCTGGAACCACACGCATGCACCACCATGCCTGGCTAATTTTTTTTAATTTATTGTAGAGACAAGGTCTCACCATGTTGCTCAGGCTGGCCTCAAACTCCTGAGCTCAACCAATCCTCTCGCCTCCCAAAGTGCTGGGATTACAGGTATAAGCCACTGGCCCCACCAGTAATAATAGCTAATATTTACTGAACACAAACTTTGGATGCTTTCTCAAGTGCTTTGGATGCCTTCTCAAGTTTATCTTGCAAGGTAAATTATATTAATCTCTATTTTGCTGATGAGAACTTTGAGGCTGCTGTAGGCTAAGGAACTTTTCAGCAAAGTCACTCAGCAGAGGAAAGCAGAGGAGCTGGGCCTTGAACAGAGGTCTGAACCATAACCCTAAAGCCAAGAAATCCCTCCATAGACATCATCCCTAAGGGAGCCGGAGGTCACTGAGCAGACAAGCAGAGAGTCTCAGTTGTGGTGTCAAGCACACATGGGAAATTTACTGGGCATGTGTCCAGGAACATGTGACACAGAGAGGGGAAAAGAGGCTACAGTCTGCCCAGGGCAGGGAGTCAGCTCTAGGGCTTGGGAAGGAGGGTTTTGCTGGCCTGCAAGGACAAAGAGGATTCCAGTCAGCAGGGGAAAGACGCCAAAATGCACAGCACAAAGATAAGACAGAAGGGAGGAGAGAGAGGTGTGAGGAGGCTCGATGCTGAACTTGGGCATGGCATGTACTGGCTGGTGTGGCCCATCTCTAAGGACCTGTCGCAAACCACGAAAATCAAGTGTTTTGATTGTCACTCAACAAACACCTTCTTGGCAGCCAGAAGACCTTGATCCAGAAGAGCGGACAGGTTCTCAGGCAAACCCTCTTATGCCTTCCCCCAGGCAGCTCACCACACATCTCTCCTTTCTTCCCATTTAGTACCACCCACAGCTTTGGAACTGAAAATCAAAGCTGGTGCCAAACAAAGGGCTTTTGTCTTTGAATTTCCAGGTGTCAGAGGAAGTAGGAAGTAGGCAAGCCCATTCCACAGAACTGATGAGTAGTAGGGACAGCAGGCAGATCGAGATCATCTAACATGACAGACTCTAGGAAGAGGAAGAGTTGATGGCTCTCAGCCATAACGAGCTCAGCCAGGCAGAGGACATTCCCTGGCAGGCAGCAGGTGGCTTTACTGCTGGCTCCCAGGGCTGGATGAGCTCTAAGGTGCTGCGGTCAAGTCAGGAGAGAAACAGAGGTAGTATCTCCACTTAAGAAAGAGGCCAGCTGGGCTTGGTGGCTCAGCCTGTAATCCCACGCCTTAGGAGGCTGAGGTGAGTGAATTGCCTGAGCCTGTGGGTTCGAGACCCGCCTGGGCAACT